CAAGGAAGGTGATGGGATGTGCAACGCAGTTGCTGCAATTACACAGGAATTCCATATTGCACCATCCTCAATCATCGGGAATAGTGGAAAGTATGGACCCAAATCTAAAAACCATGTGGCGCAAATTTATCACTGAAAAGACAAAATGTTAGGATCAACAGTTACCATTAGTGTTAATCGCAATTAGATCAACATTGAAACACATTACCGTACATAGAAAAAATAACAAGATGACCATGGGGTCAGTGCTGGTCTTTTTTTTTTTTTCATCTCATGATCAGTCTGGTCTTTGTGTTTCTAAGAGAAAGTGTGAGAGAGAGGGGGGAGAGTAGTCACTGAATCCATTACAGCATTTCAGATCCTAGCTGTGGTCATGGGGGAAGAAGGGAAGGAGTAGAAGGGGGGTAACCGATGGCATGGTCGAAAAGGAGTGTCTTGAGGTGGCACTTGAAGGAGGCTAAGGAGGGGGCGAGGCGGAGTGACTGAGGGATGGAATTCCAGAAGTTGGGGGCCGAGTGGCTGAAGGCTCTCCTGCCAATGGTTGGGCGGGTGAGTCGGGGGCCGTGGAGCAGTCCAGAGCCGGCTGAGCGGAGGGAACGGGCGGATTGGTAGGGGCTTAGCAGGTCGCAGAGGTAGGGTGGGGTGAGGCCATGGAGGGCTTTGTATGTGAGGACCAGGATCTTGAACTGGATCCTCTGAAGGATAGGGAGCCAATGGAGTCGGGCGAGAGTGGGGGAGATGGGGTCACAGAGTTTGGTTCGGGAGAGGACACGGGCTGCAGAGTTCTGGATTATCTGCAGCCTGTGGAGGGAGGAGTTGGGAAGGCCAAGCAGGGCTTTTGCATAGTCGAGCCTGGAGATGATGAAAGCATGAACAAGAGTTTCAGCGGACTGAGGGTTGAGGTAGTGGTGGAGACAGGCGATGTTACGGAGGTGAGGGAAGGCAGAGTGGGACATGGCATGAATGTGGGGGAGAAAAGATATCCTCCATGAAGCCCACCACATGCTCACTGGACTCCATCCCCAACCCTCTCCTTGAATCCCAGCTCTACCCCCTTGCCCCACTACAAGCCGACATCATTAACCTCTCCCTGTCATCTGGCACTGTCCTATCCTTCCTCAAAACAGAAACTATCACCCCCACCTTGAAGAAACCTTCCCTCGACACATCACAGCTATCTAGTTACCGGCCCTTCTCAAATCTCCCGTTCCTATCCAAGGTCCTTGAGAGAGCCGTTGCCTCCCAGATTAACTCTTCCCTCTCCTCTTATTCCCTCCATGAACCACTCCAATCAGATTTCTGTGCCGCCCACAGCATGGAAACTGTTCTGGTCAAGGTTACAAACGACATCCTGACCATGTGTGTCCAGGGCTCCCTCTGACTCCTCGTCCACCTCGATCTCTCCGCCGCCTTTGACACCGTGGACCTCTCAGTCCTCCTACACCGCCTCTCCTCCCAGCTCAACCTTCAAGTTCTGCCTTGAATGGTTCAGGTCCCATCTTTCACACTGCCTCCAATTTGTCGCAGCAAACGGTTTCTCCTCCAGCCGCCACACTGTCTTCCACACCTCAGCCGCTGGCAGCATCGGCCTCCACGCTGCACATTCAACCTCACTAAGCCAGTCAAGAACCTGTTTGACCCTGAATTGTCCTTTCTGCAACCCATCCACACCACCACCTTCACAACACTGCCCGACTCCGCCAATGCCTCACCCCTCAGGATGCCGAAACCCTCACCCACGTAGTGGAGTCCTGTAGCTCAGTGGTTAGAGCACTCGCTTTGCAAGCGAGAGATCTGAGTTCAATTCCAGGCAGAGGGCGAAACCTTGGGCAAGTTTCCTTACTCCACACAGAGCCTAATAATAATCCCTCCAAAAAACCAAAAACAATAATTAAATTGGTCATTTTTAATCTACGACTGTTTGTGGGACATTGCTGTGCGCAATTGGCTGCCGCGTTCGCCCACAAATATACAGTCAATTCACTTTACAGTGTGTTCTGTGAAGCGCTTTGGGACGTCCTCCCGACGTGAAAAGCGCTATATCAAATGCAAGGATTATTATTTATTTGTCACAAAGTCTCGATTACAGGAATTCCCTCCTCATCGGCCTTCCCAAATCTTCCCTTCACAAGCTGCAGATCATCCCAAACTCTGAAGCTCGTGTACTCTCACACTCCAAACTCCGTGACACCATCACTCCCACCCTCGCCCGACTGCACTGGCTCCCCATCACCCAGAGGATCGAGCTCAAGATCCTCGTCCTCACCTTTAAGGCCACCCATGGCCTTGCCCCCTCCTTCCTCTCTGACTGCTGATTCCCCACCAACCTGCCCACTCCCTCCTTTCATCAGGCTCCGGTCTGTTTCATGTCTTCCGCCTGATCCACCCAAACCATCAGTGGACGAGCTTTCAGCCTCTCTGGCCCCGCACTCTGGAACTCAACTCCACGGACCATTGGCCTCGCTTCCTCCCGTGCCACCTTCAAGGCCAGACTAAAGACCCTTTTCTTCGACTGTGCCTTTGGTCTCTCTCCCACCTCTCTGCGTTCCCTCAGCCCAACACCACTCCTTCCCCATGCTGGGGCCCCGACACCTGACAGTTCAGCGCTTTGGATACCATTATGACGTGAAAGGTGCTCTTTAAATGTAATTATGTTGTTGGGTTTTTATTGAATTGGCTTCCACCAGCCTTCCAGGCAATGCATTCCAGATCCCAACAACTCATGTGAAAACCTTTGTCCTCACCTCACCTCTGTTTCTTTGAACAACTATTTTAAATCGGAGTCCTCGGGTTTCCGACGCACCCGCCATTTGAAATATTTCCTACTTGTTCACCCAATCGAATCCTCTCATAATTATTCACTTATGAAAGTGTAGTAACTGTGTGTTTTGTAGGCTAACTTGGCAGCCAATTTGAGCCCAACAACGTCCCTTCAAACAGCCGCAAGCGAATTGGTCTGTTCACCAGAACGCAGGATGGAGCACCTGCTCTTGTATCTCTCCATCATCACAAATGACTCATTATTTTGCTATCGGAGTGTGAAACACCCCTCACATTGGCAATGAAAGCAGTCGCAGTGCTTTGCATATGTAACCGCTGCCCTCAGTATGTGAAGGGGATAAATACCTCTCATATTCAGACAACTTCATACAGTTTCTGACCAACGTCTCTGCGGTCTTTACAAGGCTTCCAGACATCCAGAAACCATGTACTGCTTAGTGCTCGCTCTCTCTGTACTATTCATGGCTCAGGGAGTCACCAGTCGCCGTGAGTAAACCCCAATGTTCGTCTCTCTCCTCCTCACCGAACCCCTCCAGCCCTACACTCCCCGCCCGACTCGCTCCTCACGCATCATCGGTGCGGTGTGAGTGATGCTGTGTGAGTTTGAGCTGTTGCGAAGCTCTGAGACGTCTGTGTGGTGTGAGCGGCGCTGTATAACTCAATATAACTCTGCCCGTGTAGCTGGAATTCGAGATAGAGATGGAGGTGGTGATGTGATGAAATGGCTGTCCTTGGATTGTGAATTGCTTGGAGGAGTGTGCGCGGATTCGTGTCTGACAACACAGAAAGATGTTGGAGATTGCTCTGATGTTGGGGGCATTTGCTGCAGATAAAGAAGGCAAAGCTGAGGCAGCGGAATGGAGCGCTGTCTGTCACCAGCGCAGGAGAAAGGATGGGATTGTCAATGTCTCAGCCACCGGCCTCCTGTAGCTTGTAACCCACTCCCTGAACAACAGGGCGGAGGGCAATAAATAAATATCATTCATCTCATGATCAGTCTGGTCTTTGTGTTTCTCAGAGAGAGTGTGAGAGAGAGAGAGGTCACTGAATCCATGAGTGTATGTGGGCACTGCTGTTCGCAATCGGCTGCCACATTTGACCCAAACAATGCTCAGTCAATCCTCTTTAAAGTATAAATTGTGAAGCAATTTGAGAAGTCTCAAAAACGTGATAAGATGCTATTTCAAATGCAAGGATTATTATTATTATTATTATTACAGCTCTCCCAGTTCAGCTATCGGACAGGTTAGATACAGACATGGGTGAGCATCACACCACACACCATGTCTCGCCAGGCTCCACTGGTTCCCTATTGCTGAAAGCTCTGTCTTGTTCAAATTCAACTGAAGTAAATTTGCCCTCATCCAGGACTTGATGTCCGACAGGCAGTCTGTCAGGACAGCAGTGGTCCTGGAGTTGAGGGTGGAAGCAGGAAGGTAGAGTTTGGTGTCATCTTATACATATGGAAGTTGACCCCGTTTTCAGCGGATGATGTCACCAGGGGGGAGCATGTAGATATTAAAGAGGAGAGGGCCAAAGACAGAGCCCGGGTGGATGCCAGACGTGACAGTGCAGGGGCTGGAGGAGGACGTTTCTATTATCTTTGGGGACTTTCGCCAGGTATCTGACACATACGGAAACCCATCACCATACTTACAAATATCATCCCACTCAGCTCCTGCTAGTCCTGTAAGCCCAAGACCTATCGGGTTGGTTGGTCCTGACTGGACAAGCAGTGGGAAAGCCTACAGTATCAAAGGCAAGCGATGTGGTTTTAGTTGATTGGAATCCAGCAGTTACCCCAACACACACTCTGGGGTCCCCAAGCCTTGGTTCCTGCCAAACCTGCACCTGATACTTTCTGGAATTAGGTACGTGGGATACCTCCTTCTGGGGAGAGAGAGTGTGTATTCCATTCCCACAATCTACCTCCGGGATTTCCATGTGTAGGTGGGAGGCATGGAATTCTCACCGTGGTTTAGAAAACTCTTAAGCACAGTGATGGGTTTCCGTATGTGTCAAACACCCGACTGAGCAAATTTAAAAAATAATAAAATAAAAGTCAATCCCTTAATCGTTGTGAAGGACAAAATACGATGACAGTGAGACTAAATCTTAACGTGACCCAATCCTTGCCTGAGGTTGGGAAGAAGGCTCTTTGTTTATTATTATTATTAAAACTCAAGCACAACTCGTCTCAAGATCACAACCAGTATCCCACGACTGCAGAGTGGGTCACCCCCAGACCAGGCACCCGATCCTCACACTTTGTGAATTAAATCTTCTGAGAGTGAGTGGGTGAATGTGCGCGTGTGTGTGAGTGAATGAGTGGGTGTTTGTGTGGGTGAGTGAGTGAGTGTTTGTGAGTGAGAGTAAGTCAGTCAGTCAGTGAGTCAGTGAGTGAGCAAGAAATTGACTGCCACGTTTCTCTCACAAAATACACAGTCAATCCACTTTACAGTATATTCTATGAAACGCTTTAAGACGTCTCAACGACATAATAAGGCGCTCTACCAAATACAGCGATTATTATTAACTATATATGATTATTAACATAAGAACAGAAGGAGGCCATTCGGCCCAGAGAGCCTGAGCCAACACTTTCCAGTTGCAATCCACAACTCAACGCCATCACCTCCCTCTCTCTCTCCAGAAACCCTAATATCACTGTCTATGTACCTATCAAGTAATTATCTATTTGCCTTTTAAAATGATCCATTGACTCAGCCTCCACTGCCCTCTAAGGGAGTGAATTCCACACTCCCAACACTCACTGTGTAACAATGTTATCCCTCTGTCACTTCTAAACGGTTTAGCCTCAAGTTTAAGACTTTGGCCTCTCGTCCTCAATTCCCTCACCAGAGGAAACAGCTGCTCACTATTGACCTGTTAAATCCCTTCACAAAGTTATACACCTATACATTCCCTTCCCTTTCACATATGCAACAAGTGTCCTCTCAAATAAATTGCTTATTTTTGGTCGACCCGGATGTCTGACAGATGCAGAAAACCATCATTGTGTTTAAAAGTACCCAAACCCGATGGATGAACACCACGTGGATGTTTCCTGGTGACTGAAATGGAATGCGCTCTCTCCCTGGAGGGACACCTCCTGCTTCCCTAATTCTGGACAGTTTTAGGTGCAGGTTGGCAAGAGCCAAGATTTGGTGTCCCCAGAGTGTGCGTTGGGGTAACTGCTGGAGTTTAATCAGCTGAAGCTGCATAGCTTGTCATTGATATCACTGTCTGGCATTATTTGCTATTATCAGGGTGCGCTGTTTGAAAAGAGATGGAGTTTCTCTCTCCCGACGTCATGTCCATCGATTCCCCCAAAATACATTTGGTCACTCACTCCAGGACTGTTTGTGGGGCACTGCTGTGTGCAAACTCACTGCTACGTTTCACCCACAAAATACAGTCACTGCCCTTACAGTATATCCTGTGAAGCGCTTTGAGACGTCCCAACGACCTGATAAGGCGCTGTATCAAATACAAGGATTATTATTATTATTTTATTTTAACCAGTTGTTGTTGTTGTTGGGGTACTATCGCCACCTGGTGGTGGAGAGGAAGCACAGCTTGACTGCAGTTACAGTAGAGTGACATCGCTCTCTGCTGGAAGCAAAACTGCACAACAGCACAGACTGTACGGCCTGAACATGATTTCACAAGATCATAAAAATCACGAGGCTGGTTCAGATGAGGCAGTCCCTCGGGCCCATTTAATGTCATCTTAAGATCCGTCTCAAGACCCACCTCTTTGATGACGCTCTGTCATCTTACTCCTAACTTCCACCCTGAGCTCCCACTCCCAGCTCACTGCCAAACCAGGACTGTTAGGAGCCTTGGAACGTCCTCCCGATGTGAGACACTGTATAAATTAGTAAATCTGTTGTATTCCTAGAACCTATTGTACACAATTAGCTGCCGGTTTCTCCCATAAAATACACAGTCAATCCACTTTACAGTATATCCTGTGAAGCGCTTTGTGACGTCTCAATCACGTGATGAGGCGCTGTATCAAAAGCAAGGATTATTATTATTTATCACAACCATCGAGCTGTTCCATGGTCTCGACAACCCTTATTTGGGAACTTGTTCCAAATCTTTGTCATCTTTGTTCCAGTGGCTTATTACCCCCACCCGCCCGAGTTCTGGTGTAATATTCTGCAGGTCCGTCTCAGTCAGAGGTTTCTCCGTTGTTTTAGACACTTCAATCAAATCACCTTTTACCCTCTTCAGAACAGAACCCGGGTCTGCTGCTCTTTCATCATAACAATAGTAACCTTTGCATTTGATATAGCGGCTTATCACATCATCAAGACATGTGGTGTGGTGACTGTATATTGTGGGTGAAACACGACAGCCAATTGAGCACAGCAGAATCCCACAAACAGCCACAGAATGACTGACCAATTTTATTTTGGGGACTGTTGTCCAAGACAGTGGGAGACAAAAAGTCCCTCTTCTGTTCAAATTGTGTCATGGGATCGTTAATATTCACCTGAACAGGCGGACGGGACCTCGGTTTAACGTCTCATCTGAAGGACGGCACCTCTGACCAATGCAACACACCCCCAGTATTGCATTGGAGCGTCAGCTTAGACCATATGATTCCAAGTCCTGACGTGGGGTTTGAACCTAAATACGCTTTTGACGGTGCCTTCAGCTCCCCTCTCAAATCTCGACCCCATCCTCACCTCCTCCCTTCCCGCCCCTCACCCTGACCATTTCCCACCTGCTCGGGTCCTGACACAACTGTCCAGTGGTTTGGGACGTCCTCCCGACATGAAAGACGCTCTATAAATGGAATCTTTTTGTTGTTGTTGTTGTTCATTTCCAGACAATGGCCACAATGTTCTCAAATGATTTGCTTTCGAAGACCTTTTATTCTAAAGAAGTATTAATCAACAGTTAAAACAAAATTACAATCAGGACTTTCAGGGAACAATCTTAATCGCTCTCAGACATCCTCCTGACAGAAATGTAAATCGTGTTGCATTGTGTTGCAGTTAAGATTCATCCCTTCGCCGTAACAAACACCTTAATGACATTCATTCAAATACAAATTAGATCTTGTTTTTGTTTAGAAAATAATATTTGTGGGATGCAGAATATCAGTAATTTGAGACATGACATACAGTAAGTGCAATTGCTTGGAGGAACCCGACAACTCTGGACCTGATCTGTCTGGAATGAAATTGCTCCTTTGTAACTCTAAACCCATGTCTTCTTGTCCCACTGCCTTGTGACATCCTAACGTTACTAAGGTGGGAGAGCAGGAACGTGCGGAGAGAACGGAGCAGCTGCTGAGGTTCTGTGTGACCTGGAGCTCGGAGGTTGCGAAGCTCATCTGGAACCCAAAAGCTTCCCTCTCCTGTCTGTCCAACAACAGCGCCATGTGAGGAGCTTTGAGATGTCCTCCCGCCGTGAAATGTGAGTTGCTGTTGTTGCGGCTGACACCCCGAGGCTCACACTCAGCTCATCAGTCCCCACTGCCATCCATCAGCTCCATCCTGTTATCATCCCACACACACACACACACACACACACGCCTGCGATCACACTCACACACATCTGTAATCACTCACACTCCTGCTATCAGACTCGCACACTCCTGTAATCACTCACACACACCTGTAATCACACTCACACACGCCTGTAATCACACACACACACACTTACAGTCACACAAGCCTGTGATCACACGCACTCTCGCACAGGCTGGTGATGACAGGCTGAGGAGGCGCTAACCCAGGCTGGGCTCAGGCGATGTTGTGGAGTCTCAGAGCCCAGCCCCACTGACACGGTAACTGGTTCAGGTTGAATGTGGGGAGGGTGACCAGCAGCCCCTGCTTCCCCATCGCCTGCCACCTCAGGGGCTCAGAGTATCCAACCAGCGTCACCTGTCAGGACACACAGTTACTACAGTACAGTCCCACCTCCTTGATCCCCTCAGTCATCTCCCTTTGGAACTCCATCCCACAATCCCTCCGCCTCGGCCCCTCCCTTGCCCTCCTCAAGGCCCGTCTCAAAACCCTCCTCTTCCACCTCGTCTTCGGTCACCCTCCTACCCCTACCCTCCCTGCCCTCCAACCCTCCCGATCCCAACCCCCAGCTCGGGTCGAAATCCCTGACTGTCCAGCACATTGGGACGTCCTCCTGACGTGAATGGTGCTGTGCAAATGTCATTTGTTGTTGTTGTCTATCGTCACTTTCCCCCCTTCTCAAAAGCCCTCCCTCCCCCCGTCCCTGTTGCCGAGCTATCAACCGATCTCCAACCAGCCTTTCCTCTCTAAGGTTCCCCAACGCTACTTCCAGCTTCACTCACAAACAGTCATGGATTGAAGGACTTGCTGCTGGGAAAACAGAGGGGTGTGTGTGGAGTAAGGAAACTTGCCTTAGGTTTCGCCGTGTCCGGGAATCAAACCCAGGTCCTCTCGCTTGCCAGGTAAGTGCTCTAACCACTTCTCTACAGGACTCCACTACGGTTTGTGACAAAATCACCAAAAAAAAAAATTCTCTCTGTCCAGCCAGCGGGCACCGGCTGCTTCATATCCACCCCACCATCATTGGGGGAAACTTTCGGCTTATATTCCCCCACTCTCTGAAGCTCCATCCCGGAGTCCTGCCGACCCCTCCCCATCCCCCCAACCACAACTCCATCACCTCGTTCAAGATCCATAGCAAGACCTATCTCTTTGACCCTCCCAATCCCACACCCCTCCAACAGGGTAGGGATTCGGCGGTGGAGTGGAGGTGAAGCAATGGTGAGGGAGCATCCATGACAAACCCAAAGCCCACCCCCTAGTCCCGAGCCTCCTCTCCCTGTACGCTCCGTGTGTGTGTACCCCCGCCCAGTGATGGCTGACCTTGCTGTGCCCGGCTGTGGCCGAGGGAGCTCCCAGGATCAGGCTGTCTGTCTTGGGCCACGTTAGGAACACAGCGTACACCAGGCTCTGCTCCGGGCGGGATGTGTACCTGTGGAACCGCGGGCGATAAAATCCTGCAATCAACGGTCAGTGAATAAACTCTGTCACCCGTTACCCCCCACCCATGGAGCTCCATCCCCCAGGCTCCCCGCCTTGCCCCCTTCCTCGCCTCCTTCAAGACCTGTCTCCAAACACTCCTCTTCGACCATGCCTTCGATCACCTTCTGACCCCTACCCTCCCTGCCCTCCACTTCTCCCGATCCCAACCCCCAGTTGGGGTCCAAACCCTTCACTGCCAGAGCTTTGGGATGTACCCTACTCGCCTGCCCTTCTCTGAGTCCATAAACTCAACAACAACAACAACAAGATTCCATTTATAGAGCGCCTTTCACGTCGGGAGGACATCCAAAGGCGCTGTACAGTTGGGTCAGGACCCGAGCAAGGGGGAAATGGTCAGGGTGAGGGGAGGGAAGGGAGGGAGCGAGGATGGGGTAGAGAGTCGTGAGGGGAGTTGAAGGCACAGTCAAAGAGAAAGGTCTTGAGACCAGCTTTGAAGGAGGAAAGGGAGTAGGCAAGGCAAAGGCACTGGGGGATAGAGTTCCAGGGCCTCGGGGCTGAGAAGCTGAAGGCCCGGCCACCAATTGTAGGGCCGTTGGGACGGGCGATGTGGAGCAGACCGGAGCCAGAGGAACGGAGGGTACGGGCAGGCAGGTAGGGGGATAGTAGGTCAGAAAGGTAGGAGGGAGCAAGGCCGTGAATGGTCTTGTAGGTGAGATGTGCTGTTACACTCACCCACTGTTAATGATGACCTACCAGACAGTGGGAGTGACAGTGTCGTTCTGATGTCTCCAGGGCTTAGTGCTGTAGATGGCCTCCCCGTTCACTGACAGCCACTGGCCCATCTGCCGCAGTCTCTCCTCAAACAGAGGGATGATCTGTCCGTCGTGGGTGGGTCCGATGTTCACCAACAGGTTCCCCCCGCACGACACCGTCTCCACCAGAGTCTAAGAGAGAGAGAGAGAGAGAAAGAGAGATAAGAACATCCATCACCCTCGCTGCTCTCTAGTCTCCGCTTCACCACCACAGCTCGAAGGCAATTCAGGGGTTTCACCCACAAAATATACAGGGAATCCACATGGAGTCCTGTAGCTCAGTTGTTAACACGGTCCCCTCACAAGCGAGAGACCTGGGTTGGATTCCCCAGGCAGCTCAAAACTTTGGACAAGTTTCCTTACTCCCTGCGCCTCTGTTTACGCAGCAGTAAGTGGAAACCTGGTCGTTATTCGATTATCGGATCGCTTTTTCGGGGGCAATAATCCCTTCAAAAAAATTTTTTTTTAAAAATAATCATTTTGCCACTCAATTCATGACTGTCTGTGGGACACTGTTGAGGGCAAATTGGCTGCCGCGTTTCACCAACAGAACATACAGTCAAATCACTTAACAGTGTACCCTGTGAAGCGCTTTGAGACGTCTCGACGACATGATAAGGCTCTGTATCTAATGAGCCGGGCTGGGCTGTGCTGTCATCAGCAGTGCCCTGGAATACTGGGGACCCGCCTGGCTCAGGGGGAACCAAACCGTCAAGTGGCGCCGCCTGCTATAGCTATTGAGATTTCCATAACGTATTGAAGGAACTCTCTCACCAAGAAGCCAGTGTCAGAGAGTGTGAAGGGGAGGGCATTGTGTGACCTGAACCAGCTGCTGGATGGAGAGGAAATCTCTCAGCTCCGCGTTCCTCCTGAAGCCCCAGGATTTTCTATCGATGGTCATGCAGTTCTCCCACTTGTGGGGCAGGAGGTGGCCTGGGTTGTAGCGGTCAGCGCAGGTGTAGTATCCTCCGTGCTTACAGATGGTCCCCAGCCCCCAGCGGTCGTTCGTCACCACCGTCTTCCTCACGGGGCTGCAACAACAACAACTAAATTAAACCCAACTGGAGGCCTGTAGTGTAGTGGTTAACTCGCTCACCTCCCACTGCCTGTCCAGCTAGGACCATCCTGCCTGTTAGGACTTTGGATTGCAGGCTTAACAGGAGATGAGTGGGAGGATTCCCTGACTCCAGTCAGTGACTGGTCTGCCCTTCCAAGTCCTATTCATGCTGATTGAAGTCCTGTAGTGGTTTGAGCACTCGCTTTGCAAGCTAAAGGTCTCGGGTTCGATTCCCAGTCAGGGCGAAACCTGACTTAAGTCACGTTTCCTCACTCCACACACCTCTCTTTACCGAGCAGCAATGTCGATTGGTGGATTGCTTTCTGAGGGTAATAAACCCTTCAAAAAAAAATGATGATAATTTGATCACTCAATCCATGTGCTTGTGGGACATTCCTGTGTGCAATTGGTTGCTATGTTTCGCCCACAAAATATACAGTCAATTAATTTTACAGTATATTCTGTGAAGCGCTTTGAGACGTCTCAATGAAATGATAAGGCGCTATATCAAATACATTATTACTTTTATTATAAAGTTGGCCACCACTGGCCTATTTGTGAGTACAATGGCCTTGAGGTGGGACTTTAACCCACAACCACACATAGGGTAGCATTCTGGGCAGTGGCGGAGCCTGACGCTGAGCTGGGGGAAGGTGACCATAAGAAGGTCTTCGGGTATGATCTGAAGATGAGGAAGGAGGGGGCAAGGCAGAGGGATAGAGGCAGAGTGTTCCAGAGTTTGGGGGAGTAATGGCTGAAAGTGCGGTCGGCAATGCTGGAACGGAGGGCACGAGGAACAAGCAGGAGTCTGGAGCCAGTCGAGCGGAGGCAGCTGGTAGTGGGTTGGCGGTAAGCAGGTCAGAGAGATAGGGAGAGGGGAGAGTGTTACTGAGTGAGCCAGGCTGACACACTTGCCTTTCATTGTAGAGCCAGGACAGGAAGCCAGTGCTGTTCCAGTAGGAGGCGGGGGCGTTACCATCACCGTCAGACCAGAGAACCTCCGGCCGGTACTTGTTGACAATCTCGTAGAGCTCGGGAAGGCTCTTCTTGGAGGGAAACTTGTTGGTTTTAAAGTGGTTGGCCTCATCCTCCAAGAAGAGGGGATTGAACCACTCGAAGAGGGAGTGGTAGAGCCCGAACCTCAAGTCCGTTCTACCTCTGATCGCGTCTCCCAGCTCCGCCACCAGGTCCCGCCGTGGCCCCACGTCAACCGCGTTCCAGTTCCAGGACGTTTGCGAGCCCCACAGAGTAAATCCTGAGAACATGCAGCCAACACATCAAACCTGAGAACATACAGCCAACACGCATCCTGAGAACATACAGCCAACACTGAGAACATACAGCCAACACGCATCAAACCCTGAGAACATACAGCCAACGTGCATCAAACCCTGAGAACATACAGCCAACGTGCATCAAACCCTGAGAACATACAGCCAATGTGCATCAAACCCTGAAAACACAAATCAACAACAACTTGTATTTATATAGTGCGCCTCATGCAGAGTCGCGTCCCAGAGCACTTGACAGTACTTGATATGGTTGAATAGGAAGGTCTTCAGGCATAACCTAAAGATGGAGAAGGAGGGGCAAGGCAGAGGGATTGAGGTAGAGAGGTCCAGAGTTTCGGGGGGAATTGCCTGAAAGCGCGGACGGCAATGGTGGAATGGCGGGCACGAGGGACAAGCAGGAGGCCAGAGACGATTGAGTGGAGGCAGCGTGTTGTGGGTTGGGGAGTAAGCAGGTTGGAGAGGTGGGGAGGTACTGGGCGTAAAGGGATTGGAAGACAGATGTGAGGATTTTGAAATCAATGACACCAAACCCAGAGAACACACGACCAACACTCAGAGCTCAGAACTTTGTGGATTTAAGCTAAAGTGACTGACTATCCTCCTTTGGGGTACGTAGGGTCTCCTTGTAGCTGAACTGACTCCAAAGTAACATAATAATCCTTGCAGTTGACATGTTATGCAACAGAATGTCAGAATGGAGCCAACCCTCGGTGACGGTCTCCATACGGTTCCTGAGCCAGGCGGGTCCGCAGTATTCCAGGCCACTGCTGATGACAGCACAGCCCCGGCCTGGCTTCCAGCAGGACTTGGAAGAGCAGACCAGTCACTGGGGGCAGGAAATCCTCCCACTCACCTCCAGCAGTTACCCCAACACACACTCTGGGGTCCCCAAGCCATGTCTCTTGCCAACCCGCGCCTAACACTTTCTGGAATTTGATAAGCAGATCCCTCCAGGGAGAGAGTGCGCATTCCATTCCGACAATCTATCTCTGGAGTTTCCATGTGGAGATGGGATGCGTGGAATTCTCAGCTCGGTTTGGTGACTCTTAAGCATTAAGCAGTATGGCAAGGGGTTTCCGCACGTGTCAGACACCCGGCTGACCGAAAGAAAAGCGTGACTGAGTTGCACTATAATAATAATCTTTTTGACACAGCGCCTCATCACATCTTTGAGACGTCTCAAAGCGTTTCACAGAATATATTGTTAAGTGAATTGACTGTATATTTTGTGGGCGAAATGCAGCAGCCAATTGCTCACAGCAGTGTCCACAAACAGTCGTGGAACTTTTTTTAACTATTTTTTCTTTTTTTAAGGGAATATTACCCCAGAAAAGCAATCCGCCAATCGACTAACAACGGGGTTCCTACTTACTGCTGGGTAAACAGAGGTGGGTGGAGTAAGGAAACTTGCCTAAGGTTTCGTCCTGCCCAGGAATTAAACCCGGGTCCTCTCGCTTGTGAGTGCTCTGACCAATATACTACAGGAAGACAGGGGTGGGGAGAGGAGAAGGGAACAGAGAGAAGGGGATGAGTCAACATTTACCTTCGTGATGTTTGGTTGTGAGAACCACATACTTGGCCCCCGAGTCATTGAGCAGGTCGGCCCACTGGACAGCATCAAAAAACTCAGCCGTGAACATGGGAGCAAAGTCAGCGTAGCTGAACCCCGGAGGGTAGTTCTTGTCCATAAACTCCACATAGGGTGTCCCGACGTGAAAGGCGCAGTACAAATACAATTTTGTTGTTGTTGTTGTTCTTTTATATTCCAAACCCTGTTCAATACAAGTTGTTACAATACAATTTACATTGATCCAGCGCTGCTCACGTCAGGAGGACGTCTCAAAGCACCTGACGCTGAGGGCCTGGGAGCCAAGGGGAAAGATGGCCAAAAGTCCTGTCAAAGAGGTACGTTTTGTGACATGTCTTTTCACATAGTGCTGACTGTGATCATGGCAGGTTTTCGGATCTAGAGCGATAGCCCTGAGCACCTCCCACCCACCACACACACAATAAATTTCGTTTATATAGCGCCCTTCACATGGGGTAGCGTCCCAGAGCGCTTCACAGTGGTTGAGTCTGACCCCGAGGCTGGGGGAGAGGAAGGGGGGAGGTGACTGTAAGCACGATCAAAAAGAAAGATCTCTGGGTGCGATTTGAAAGTGGGGATGGAGGGGGCAAGGCGGAGGGACTGGGGGAGAGTTCCAGAGTTTCAGGGCATAGTGACTGAAGGCACAGTCACCGATGGTGGAGCTGAGGGGAAGAGGGACAAATAGGAGGGACAAATATGGCGTACCACATGCTCCCCATATCACACACATAATAATAATAACAATAATAGTAGTAATAATAATCCTTGCATTTGATACAGCGCTTTTGACATCACTGAGACGTGAAAGCTGAAAGCTCTTCACAGAATATACTGCAAAGTGAATTGAGTTTATATTTGTGGGCGAAACGCGGCAGCCAATTACGCACAGCAGCGTCCCATCGACAGCCATGGATTGAAGTGACCAATTTTTTTGTTATTATTTTTCTTCTTTGAAAATATTTGAAGGCAGAGTCGAAAAGGAGCGTCTTGAGTTGTGCCTTGAAGCAGGCAAGAGAGTGAGCGAGGTGAAGGGACTGTAGGATGGAGTTTCACAGGGTGGGGGCAGAGAGGATGAAAGCCCAGGCCCCCAATGGTAGGGTATTCCGGGCTGGAGACATGGAGCAAGCCGGAGTTTGCTGAACGGATGGAGTGGGCAAGTTGATAGGGTCAGCAGGTCAGAGAGGTCGGAGGGCGTAAGGCCGTGGAGGGCTTTGAAAGTGACGATGAGGAATTTGAATTCTATCCTCTGAGGGATGGGATGTCAATGGAGCCGAGCGACGGTGGGGGGTGATGGTGGGGGATAGGACACGATCTAAGAATTGGGGAGACCAACAAGGAGGGAGTTTCCGTAGTAGAGCCTTCAGATGACGATTGTGTTTATGAAGGTTTCGGCGGCCTGAGGGGTGAACCAGTGACGGAGTCGAGCAATGTTGCAGAGCTGGAGCAAGGCACCGCATTTTGCTGGCCTGAGCGGTGAGGTAGTGGTGGAGTCGGGCAAAGTTGCACAGGTGGCGGAGGCAGCGGGTAGTGCTGTGAGAAGAGAGGAGGTTCGAGAGATAGGAGGTGCCAAGGCATGGAGAGCAGGACAGAAGATGAAGATGGGAGCCGAAGAGTATGGCTTCCGTCTTGCTGACGTTTCAGACTCCCAGACAGCATGTACTGCTTACTGCTCGCTCTCTCTGTGATATTCCTGGTTTAGGTGAGTAAATCCCAATGCTCGTCTCTCTCCTCCTTCCCCTCCCCCCAACTCCCTCCCCCCCAACACATTGTCCGTGCGGTGTGAGCGGCATTGTGTGAGCGCGAGACATTGTGAAGCTCTGAGTCGTGCAAGTGGCGTTGTATAACTGAGTTGGTCTGTACACATTGGGAGCCCGGCTGACACATAGTGACTGAGCCAGACTGACAAACAGCGAGTTAGCCAGACTGACGTTCAGTGACTGAGCCAGACTGACGTACAGTGACTGAGCCAGGCTGGCGTACAGTGACTGAGCCAGTCTGGCATACAGTGACAGAGCCAGGCTGACGTACAGTGACTGAGCCAGGCTGACGTACAGTGACTGAGCCAGGCTGACGTACAGTGACTGAGCCAGGCTGTCGTACAGTGACTGAGCCAGGCTGATGTACAGTGACTGAGCCAGGCTGACGTACAGTGACTGAGCCAGGCTGACGTACAGTGACTGAGCCAGGCTGACGTACAGTGACTGAGCCAGGCTGACGTACAGTGACTGAGCCAGGCTGACTTACAGTGACTGAGCCAGGCTGACGTACAGTGACTGAGCCAGGCTGGCGTACAGTGACTGAGCCAGGCTGACGTACAGTGACTGAGCCAGGCTGACGTACAGTGACTGAGCCAGGCTGACTTACAGAGACTGAGCCAGGCTGACTTACAGAGACTGAGCCAGGCTGATGTACAGTGACTGAGCCAGGCTGCCACAAAGAGACTGAGCTACGTTGACACACAGTGACTGGATTTGAGAGGGAAAAGGGAGATTTCCAAACCAAGGGTATAAATTTAAGTGTAAGTCAGGTCAACTTCGATGGGATGATAAATATACTGACCACAGTAAACTGGGCTGAGCTGTTAGTGGTAAAGCTGCAGAAGAACAACGGGAAGTATTCAAAAAAGTATTTGATACAAAACAGAACAAGTACATACCCCTAAAATGCAAAAGCTCCACATCGTGTAGTGAAGCGACCATGGTCGACAAAAGAGGTTAGAGGCTGTATCGAGCTAAAGGAAAAGCTTACTCAAATGTAAGAAAAAGTGTGAATGCAGAGGACTGGGAGAACTATAAAAGTCAACAAAGGGATAAGAAGAAAGTATTAAGAGGAGCATAAAGGGTGTGTAAAAAAAACTTCCGAGGGATATTAAAACCATTAGTAAAAGCTTTTATAAATAAATGAAAAGAAAGAAAATGGTCAACAGAAATGTATTGTCCATTAAAGACAGATGTAGGTGAGAATATAACAGAAAATAAGGAAATGGCTGACTTGTTAAACAGATACTTTGCAACTGTTTTTAGAGTAGAGGATGAGGACAAAATACCAGTCATACAGGGGAACCTAAAAATAAGTCAAAGAGAAATGCTTAATAAAATTAATATATATAAAATATTGTTAGTGGAGAAAATAATGAGACTCAAGATAGACAAATCTCCAGGACCTGATAGTTCCACCCCAGGGTGTTAAAGGAAATAGGAGAGGAATTTACAGATGCATTTGTCTCTTTATTAAATCCCCAAAGTAATACGGATGTTGGGATGTGAGACGGATGGTTGGACTTTTGTGTGTGAGTGGGAGATTTGCAAACCTGAGTTTATTTGACTTCAGACTGAGCTCATTCAGCCACACACCTTGTCCTATGCAAACACCCAGATATTGTGATAATGGTTAGACACACACTCAGTGAGAGCAGAGTTGGTAACATCCAGACTTGACAACACTAACTCCCTGCTCACCAGATCCTTTAAATTCATTACTGCAACAAGGAGTTTTAAGAAGGACAGATTTCTCTATTTCAGCAGTTTTATTACAACACAAACCGATAAACAGTGTCCAATGGAGTGAGAATCCAGAGTATTGACTGTGTAGAATTAAATTTTTAGAAATGTGAAAAACATCTATTAGCCAATTTTGGGGCAATGCAACATTTCCAATAGATTCTTGTTTATCACCTGTTGTTTTGTTGTTTTAACCTATCACACCACGACAGAATTACATTTAGACGGTCAGTTAAAAGATGGATCATTATCAAATGTCTGTCTGGCTCCATGGACCTTGTTGTTTCAAGGACGTGACATTACGTTTAAACATTCCTCTTCCCCGACATTTTTGGCTAATAAATTAAATTCTAAAGTTGCCGCGAATCATCAATATTCAAGCAATGGATCAAATTGAAGTGTTAAACATGGTTTGCTGTTTTACAAAGATTTGTGGGAGGTTCCGACAATGTGTCGGAATGACTTTTTACAACAAAGTACATGATGCTCCCACGTCTGGACATCAATCAGCGCCACTACGTTACAGTGACTACAACAAATAGCCCAATGCTATTGATTCGGATCAAGGGTCTCACTTTACAAGGAAGGTGATGGGATGTGCAGCACAATTACTAGGAATTACACAGGAATTCCATCTTACACCATCGTCAATCATCGGGAATAGTGGAAAGTATGGACCCAAATCTAAAAACCATGTCACTGAAAAGGTAAAATGTTGGGATCAATTGTTACCATTAGTGCTAATCACAATTACATCAACACCATCTCAGACAGCAACATTTTCACCATATCATAGTAATAGGATTATACAGCACAGAAGGAGGCCAATCGACCCCTTGTGTCTGTGCCGGCTCTTTGAAAAGACCTATCCAATTCAATCCCACTACCCAACTCTCTCCCCATAGTCCTGTAAACTTGTCCTCCCCAAATAAATATCTACTTCCCTCTTAAAAGTTGTTATTGAATTGGCTTCCACCAGCCTTTCAGGCAATGCTTTCCGGATCCCAACAACTCGCTGTGTGAAAACATTTTTCCTCACCTCCTCTCTGTTTCTTTCAACAACTATTTTAAATCGCTGTCCTCGGGTTACTGATCCACCCGTCATTTGAAATAGTTTCCCCTTGTCCATCTGAGCGAATCCTCTCATAATTCTTCACTGTAAAGTGTAGTGACTGTGTGTTTTGTGGGCCAACTTGGCAGCCAATTGGAGCCCAACAGCGTCCCCTCAAACAGCCACAAGGGAATTGGTCTGTTGCCCAGAAAACAGGATGGAGCACCTGCTCTTGTATATCTCCATCATCACAAATGACTCATTATTTTGCAATCGGAGTGTGAAACACCCCTCACATTGGCAATGAAAGCAGTCGCAGTGCTTTGCATATGTAACCGCTGCCCTCAGTATGTGAAGGGGATAAATACCTCTCATATTCAGACAACTTCATACAGTCTCTGACCAACGTGTCTCTGCGGTCTTTACAAGGCTTCCAGACTTCCAGAGACCATGTACTGCTCAGTGCTCGCTCTCTCTGTGCTGTTCATGGCTCAGGGAGTCACCAGTCGATGTGAGTAAACCCCAATGTTCGTCTCTCTCCTCCTCACCGACCCCCTCCAGC